CCCCAAAACCCCAAAACCCCGAGATGAAGGATATCAGTGAGATTGATTAGTTCTCAAATTCTTAATTTAAAATTCAAATATTTTATTTGTTAAGTATTTTTAAGAATGAGCAAACCAATGCTTCACCCCGTAAACTAAAATCCTGTACTAAATCAACTACAGATTATGAAAAAGGGCAAGGAAAATGTCTTAGTCATAAAGAGGGGTTCATTCAGCCGTTTCAGTGAAAGAGATGTAAACAGGAGTACATCTGCGAATCGCGCTTTCGGTACTGAGATTACAAATATTTCCCATAACATCGCTAATCAATCGAGAGTGCAGAGTATTGTTATGAACTCCATCAAAGACTCAAAGGTAAGACACCCTTTGTGAAAATTTTAATGCTACTATAGTCAGCAAGATAATATTAATCTCTATCTTTTGATAGACTATCAGGAAAAGAAAAAACTCCTTAAATTAGAGATGCATCCTCAGCTAGCAGATAGAGTCATCCGTTGCAAAGGGTACCAAGTTCAAACAGGGCATCAAAGGAAAAATTACCAAAAATATCAGTGGTAGAGAAGCAGCAAATGTTCATAAACCGTTGTGATAGATTTATATACCAAAAAATACCAAAATTTGATCTTGAAAACATCAAAAATATTTATGAGGTTAGTGAGTTTGCTGAGGATATTCACTAACACATGAAATCTACTGAGATAGACGGATAACCTAGTTCTAGCTATATGAAAAAATAAACCGATATAAATGAGAGTATGAGAGCGATACTTGTGGATTGGCTTATAGATGTTCATTTAAAGTTCAAATTACTAAATGAGACGCTTTTCCTTACTGTTAACATAATAGACAGATATTTAACTTTGAGGAATGGCTTATAAAGATCAAAACTGTAACTAGTAGGAGTGGGTGCGTTATTAATCTCGACTAAATATGAGGAGATATATCCACCTACTGTTAAAGATTTAGTCTATATTACTGATAATGCATATAGCAAGGAAGAAATTCTGATAATGGAAAGCAACATTTTAATTGCTTTGGACTTCTCAATATAATAGAATTCTCAGTACAGGTTCTTAGAGCGATACTGTAGAATTGCAAAAGCTGATACAGTCATGTTCACCTTGGCCTAATACTTCTTGGAACTTGGATTGCTAGATTCCAAAATGTCTAAATTTCTACCGTCTGAGCAAGCAGCAGCGGCTGTATTAGTAGCTTAAAGAAAAGTAAAAAAGTATAATACCATTGATATCTCAAAACTTGATAAGCACACCGGACATACCGATGAAAGTCTTAAACCATGCGCCTAAGTCTACGAAAACCTTTCAAAATCTATTGTTAATTCCACCCTTAAAGCTGTATATCGTAAATTTAAGAGTGGAAAATATTACGAAGTTACTAGAATCCTTTAATAGAGTCCCTAGACTTAGATTGAACCATAGTAATGATTATAGTCTAACTGAAATCTATATAAATGATAAATTATATGCAAAGTTCACTCATTCATCAATCTCTATTAATACTCTAAGTCTGGGGTTTTGGGGTTTTGGGGTTTTGGGG